ATTTTTGCATTTTTTTTAACCTAATGCTCATTTAAAGATAAACGATGCCTCAAACATAAAATTGTATGCAAAATATTACTGCTGTTGATTTAAGCTGTGGTCGTCTGGAGTTTGCATAACAATCCTGTGCTTGCACAAACTGAGTACTCTGGTTGCCTTCTGCATTTTGCATGCAAAGTCTTTCATCTTATGTGCTTGTGTTAGGCCTGTGATCGGCTGCCAACCTGTTCTCAGTTTACCCCTCCTTCCACTATTTGCTGCCAAGATAGACTCCACTTCCACAGCAATCACGGGCAGGACAAAATGGAGCAAAAAAGATGAGTCCCAAGAAATTTTTCTTGGCTTTGAGAACAATACCTGGCAAAGATCACTGAAAAATATTCAATTGTCGACTCCTCGTGTCATATTTTTATATGTCATGGATTTAAAAAATAAAAGCATGTGAAGCACATCTTGATTGATCATATGTCAGTGACTTGTAAAACAAAAACAATGTAAAGAGCAAATGAATAATCAATTTTCAACAACTGAAGCTACAGATTATCTGAGTAAAGGTGAAGGTACAAAACAGTTCAGTTAATACATTTGGAAAACATATTTGTAGGCATGTTATTGAAACAGAAAACAGAATCTTCAAAAATACAACTTACCACGTACATTTATTTATCATACAGGACGTTTCTGACAATCAATCTTCCAACAGTGTTGCTGTCAATAAATAACCTGGCTAAAATGCTAATTATATTATTAATATTCTGAAAACCCTAGCAATGGTCTGACAAAACCCAGAGAAGACGATTTGTAATTGCTATTTCTCACACAGTGAACCAGGCAATAAACTCTGTAGAAGAGGCAATTACTTACTTATCTGACACTGCAGCCTATTTCTGTCACAGAACCAGCTAGAGGAAGCAGGGAACATGGTCCTCAAGGCTGCTAACCAGGTTAGCAGCATTATTAACAAAACCCAGCACCACACTGCAAGATTTGTCAGGAAGATTTAGTGGAGGGTGCCTCCAAACCCCAGGAGCCATCTGAAGAGGCTTCTTGCTCTGCTCTGTGGGACTCAAATCTTCTGGGGCTTCTCGGGTTTGAGCGAACTGGTAGGTTAACCAGGGGTCTGGGCAAAGATGATTCATGGCTCATGCTGATTACTTTGCATATGGACTGGTTTTTGCATTTTTCCTGGCAGTATTTTAAAGACCTGCTGCTGTTTAATGACAATTCGTGGTTTATTAATTTACATTTATATCTTGCTCAACTACAGCAGATGCACCATGTGGACAATGGGGCTAATTCAGAGTAAGGAAATCTGGGGCTAAAAGGGTTGAAAAGACTTGATAATGATGCAATGAGGGTATAGAAACCACAAGCAAGCCCACTTTGAGCATTAAGGGCCTCAACGTGATTGCAAAATCCATCTTTGTGTTCCCACCATTGCAGGTTGATCAAATGGAGGATATCTAATATGTAAATAACTGGGTGTATGCTACCACAACAAGGGAGCTTATTTACTCCATCAAACATCTGAGACTGGAAATATTTTTGGTGTCTGCTAAGACATGGAAGTTAGAAAACCAACGGTGTAAAACGAAGTTCATCCTCTTCAGTCCTCTGTTTCCATCAAGACCCGGTCTCTACTGCACCCAGTGAAGAGATAAATTCAGTTTATGGACAGTCCATTACTTCGTTCCAATGAAGCATGTTCACATTAGCCTATACTTTGACAAGATTTCAGTAACAGACAGTACGAAAGACAGACAAGTCCACAGCATCACTGATACCCCACTTTTCTCAACCAATGGATTGCAAGGCTATTCTGCATCTGGTCTCCTTTGTCCCCATCACATGAACAGTTTGTTTCTGAGGTTTTCAAAAAAAGGTGCAGTAGGCACAATATAATAAATTAGCAAAAAACAAAATTATAGAGATGGGTTCATACTAGCCTGGTCATTGCCTTCCTGTGCAATTCTACTTTCGCTTGATTCTGATTGTCTCCGATCAATTTTTGACCGGGCCAATCACCAAACAGAAGAAGTTGTGATCGATTACGACAATTTTCTGCATTGTTTTAGAATTGTGTCTGTAGTTTTAGAAATGGCAGTGGAGGAACTGAATGACATAACAATGGCATCGACTACGATTAACCCAAAGTTTTCTTGATGTTTCTGCTCTTATGCAACATTGCAATGTCCCCACTTCTCTTGGTGTACATTAAAATCCCATTCACTTAAATGAGTAAGATGGGCAAAACTCCAAACTTTTCCAATGACTAATTCAACAGTCTATTTTGTCCTGAAACGTCAATGCTGTCTACAAAAGTACAATGACTGACAAGAGAACTGATTTATTTGACTTTTCCACCGTTATAGTTAATTGTACAGAGCATTTGCTAATTTGAGCTAGATGTCTACTTTTTATAGTCAAGAAAATTGTGCTCCAACATTTGCATTATAAAAATAACCACCAATGTAGAGATAGATATGTGATCTTTTAATGTACACAGTCCCGTACTGAAGGGAATGCACAAAAATGAGGTTTGAATTGAACACTCAGCTGCATAAAAACACTCATTTTCAAGATATTTTTGTCCACAGGAAAACAAATACTAAGCAGACAAATTGCTGTGTTCTAAGTCAGACAAATGATGTATTCACAAGAAGAACCAGACTGAGGTTGTAAATAAAACCCAAAGGAGCCATCACAACAGGGTTGTTTAATATACTTCCCTGAAGAAAGAATACCTCCCCCTTGTAGTAGAAGGACTCACCTTTGTGTGACTGCTGTGGTTGTTTGTAAATGTTAGCAATATTGATTTTTTTTTTTTTTTTTTGCTGCTATTTGCTGAATTTTCTCGGGCGGAGTAATTTGTTTATCAGGAAGGAGGTAAAATAGGAGGAAGAAACAGGTAATAGACGTGGGAAAGATAAAAGCCACTCAGAGAGAGAGAGAGTGAGAAAGAGAGAGAGAGAGATGCTGAGAGCGGCTGCAGATATTACAGACATGTCATTTAGAAACTAAAAGGAAAATTGGAAATGCATGATAAGATTTCCAGATGGCAAGAGTACATAAAATAATGAAAAAGACACAAGTGACAATGTGTTATCTTGCAATAAAATGGGCGTGCCTCTGTTCAAGTAAAGAAAAAAAAATGTCTCTGAGATCGGAAACTGTACCTGAGGCAACGGCTGATGTCACGCAGGTACACTGCCATCTGGTGACTGAATTTCTACTTCATTTCATTTCTAGATTTTATGATATTTTTTATTTTCATTTTATTTTACTGAAAATTCTTCAAATCCACACACCTTCAAATACTCTACACTAAATGTTGCATTTTAAAAATTTAGCTGAACTGCATAATTCAGTGATTTATAAACAATATCTGTGAACATATTCCTGTCTTTACTGGTTTCCTCAGCCGCTCTCTAACAATATCTTACCACTGTGTTGTTCAGCTAATTATTGCTGAGTTGCTTTCTCCTTTGTTACTGTATTTTGAGTACTCAACTATAATACAACTTTTACACGCGTCCCTTCTACAGCACACATGTATAAAATGGCTAATTTCCCTCATTAGCAGTCATTCAGATCTGCAAAACAGTCAAAAGCGTAATAATTTTAAAGGCTTGCAACCGCCTTGTCAAAAAAATGCGATGCAGTCGCATTTTATTGAGCTGCAGCATATTATTAAAAAATATGTTTTTTTCACATTTGCTAAAGCTGTCACCATGTCGTGGTAGTTTAAGAAACAGATAATCTGTGAATAGATCAGTCTCTCCCACCTCTTCCCTTGGCTGCTACTTACCAAGAACAACCAATCAGAGCCAGGAAAGCAGTCTTAACGCTGTCAATTAATCTCACTCACTCACTGCTAAATGTGCCAAAGGAACGCTTTATGAAGATTGTTTGAATTTCTGTGAGTGATAAATAAATTATTTTTGCTGTGTAGTTGTAAAAAGAGTGAAGGCAAGAAAAATCCACATGGATTGAACCCAGTGATGCTCACCTTTTTCACTGGGACAGGGAGGAGTGATGCAGGTATCTGGGCTAGAGCTGCTGCTGTCTGACTCATCTGTTGCTAAGTGTGGTAAGAGGTACAGGTACAAGTTAAATATATGAATATTCCTTCATTCATTACATGCCAGTAAAATGGAGGCAAACAGTAGTCTGTAGCTACTATGCTAACTGTGCTAAATAGTTGACAATCTCAGTCTACCCACCTCTCTTGGAGAAAATCCGGGCTATAAATTGACACTCTTGTTTTTTCTCTCTCTCCTTTTGAAAACCCAATTTTGTTATTTTTCTTGGCAGCACAGTAATTGCTTCAGTCGTTCTTGTCTTCTACTGACTGCTGTTGACCATGAAGATCCCGGGGGGTGTTCAATGCAAATATGGATGTGTGCTTTTTGGTCGGGGAGTGGTAACATTCAATTTTTACTGCGAAAGCAATTTTAAAAACACTTTATGATTAATTTTGTAATTGACAGGGCCCCCAGTTTTTTTTATATTTCTATAAGAAAAAAAATGTGGGAGGGCTCCTGTCAAAGCCTAAATATTAAAAATTGACCTGTATGAAAATGTAATTTCAAAAATGTGCTTCCACTGTTTGCTAATCTGTTAAATACTTGCTTCATTTTGGCATAAAATAAATAAAATATATAATTTTGCTAGAATCTATATTGGTCTAAAGCTTAAAAATAAAGTAAAAATCAACATGGTATATATATTGGAGAGTTTTATTGTTTGTTTGTTTTTAATCAAGGTTATCATACAGTTAGTCTTATACTAACTAGTAAATAACTATTTTATGGTCTGTGGGTGAGATTGCAAATATTGTATTGAAATTTGTTTTCTGAGATTCCACATTTCTTTTTTTTTCATTGAGTCCTATCTTTACCAAACATATTTGGTTTTTACATTTTCAGTCAATTATAATGTGCTGAACCTCAAACCAGGCATCTTGAGGTGAGCACAGAATATCATAAAATAACATCAAGCCTGTTGAAATCTGTTTAATAGTTTTCCAGCTTTACATAAAGGAAAGTGGCATTACGATACATATATAGCTGTACATCAGTCAAACTCCCTGTACATGAGTTTAATGTTGTAATATGTGCAAAAAAACTGCTGGGTTTATGCTGTTTGGATAGACAGCGTTAAATATTGTGACCTAATATTGTGGGCTGCAGAGAGAGGGAAGCTTGTTATTCTTCTCAGTCCACCATTTCGAACCAAACAAACATAATAAACTTAATGTCAGTGAGTTGGTCAAATAGAGAAAAAGTCTGTCTACCTAAGATAATGCTGACCCTTAAAATTCTGAGGAGATACAAGAACAAGCTATTGCTCACTATTGTTGCTACTCCAATGCCAACTCTTCAATAAGAAAAGCAGTTATTGGCTGTTACTAGAAAATAATAATCATTTAGACTAGCAGCTTGGCTCTGTCTGCAGCTGAGAGGGACTGTTCCATGAGAACTAGTTCGCCAGTGAATGGTTTGGAAGTGGCAACCACAGTGTGTTCATAAAAGTAAAATTAAAGTGACTCAATAGTTTTAAAAGAAAGCATTGGTAGATTTGTTGCATGTTTTATTTCGCTGAGAGACGTTTTCTCTTGTTAAACGCAGAGAAAACGTCTGTAAGTTGGTAAAACTGTGTGGTGTTTGCATGTCTTCCCTGTGAATGTGTGGCTTTTCTGGTGGGAATTCTGGCCTCACACAAACCTCTGAAACTTTTCCATGTTCAATGCAGAACTTGGTTAGAAAAATATGCCAAATTAGACTGTTTGTATCCCAGCAGTTTTTAAAATATATCAATACCAGCATGGATTGTGTTCTGCTAGTGAATAACTCAGACCACATACCACCCTTACATAAAATGTCTAAGATTTTTTTCAACAAAGGCAAATAGATAAATAAAATATACATATAAAAGTTGATTGCGTTTTATAAAAAGCAAAACAAATGAATCAAATCACTTTGTACATAAAACTTTTTGTTTTCTAATATCAGTGATTGTTTTTGTAATCTACAAATGGTTTGTAATGTTTTGAGTGCAAGCTCCATTTCAACAATAAAAAAAACACAATAAATAAGTAGAAGAATCACAAGAACAAGTGTATTTTGTGCAGCGTAGTGGCCTTTCTAAACATTTATTTCATTCTAAGTGGTGTTTTAAACATCGGCTCAAGGAGAAAAGCGTCTCTGCGTTTTAAACATTTTTGATCTCGTGTTTCAAAAAAAATCTCACTTTTCCTTTTAGATATTACGCTGTTGTTTTTGTACAGTACATGGTCCAGAATAAGTGCCAGCAATCCATTTTAATTTGGGAATCAAAAATCTTCAGTGTATTGTCATAAATACTGTAAAACCAGATACTAGTTACTGAACTACCATGTAAAGATTTCTCTAGACAACTCAATCATCTGCTAGGTCCGATTATTTTCCTTCCAAAGTCCATTATATACAATATATTTGCTTCATTCTAAAATTTACAAACCTGTAATACACAGCGCCAGCAGCAACAAGGATAAGAAACTGATTGTGGGTGTGGTCAGAGATGCTTTACCTGGAAAAAAACCCAAAACATTAAAATAGTTAATGATAAAAACAACTTTAAGTTTATTTAATAACCCACTATTATCCTAATTCTTACCCTTAATACTTATCATCCTGACTGGGCCATCTCCCCCTTCGTAGCGACCACGAACCATCAGTTCATAGTCTCCAAGCTGAGGCATTGGGAAGTCCATAAAGTGCCAGCCAGTGATGTAGACCTTCCCGTAGATGTACCCCGTCTTTCTAAACATGACCTGACAAAGAAATGAACCCCAGTTTATTTCAGCCATAAAACCTGAAGGCATTCTTACTATAGAGGTGAAACAACACTAGCTGCACCCACCTTGTAGTACAGGGGGAAAGAAACATTCCCAAACCAGTCATACGGGATATGATCCCACCACACGTACAACCATTGTCCTGTCCAGGTAACGTAGCGCCACATTCTGGGAGGCTCAGAGGGAGCTGCGGAGAAACAGTTTACTTATTTTAAAAGTTTACGTACGCAATATTACAGATCTCATTGTCCGTTTTCATGTCGCTCTTACGTGGCCTCTTTGTGAACATCTCACAGTGTTCACCGGGCGGTCCAAGACCTGCTCCGTTGAACGCCCGGACCTCAATGAGGTAGTGCGAATCTGGCAGCATGTTTTCCAGCCGGGTCTGATTGACTGTAGCTGGAACGAATATGCGATTTGCCCCGGGCTCTGGATCGTCATACTTTCTCCAGTATTTGATCTATGAAGTAGGATACATTTTTGTAAGTCTTGTGTTTTTTATTTTTGTGGATAGCATGGCAGATACAGGTAACAACTTGGCAAATACTGATAAAGTGAAGAGAGGTAGAAACTTGGATGCAAGTGTCTCTGGTAGTGTCAACACAGGCTGACATTGATGTAAAGGGCAAACAAAATATCTTGAAAAACAAATTCATATGAGTTTGCATTTACTTTATCACATGCTATATGAAAAAAAAATCAAATATGGCTACAGTTATTAAAAAAAGATGATCAACTACGTATATTTTCTACATATACCGCAGTCTAAATAATTAAATTTTTTGAAAATTGTCTGGAAACCAAAATCAACAGAACAAAAATCTTGCTTTAATGTACATCTGTAATTTGAAAAGATCTGTCAACATCCTTAATAATGTAATTTCCATACTTACATGACATCTCATGGTAAGACATTTATTTGAATAAATTCCATGTAAAGCAAACTTTAAAATTTATTTTTGAAGACTTGTATAGGTTTGTACCTTGAAGGAAAATAACAATCCTGTCATTCAAGATATTCCTCTTGTTCACAGAGCACCAAATTCATATTGAACATTTTGATCTCCTAACAGGTCATTAATTATAGTCCTTATTCCATTAGGTAACACTGCAAATTTGACTGTTGAGGTCTGTAGATATTATCTATTTTTAAAACAAATTCAAATATTTTCTGCCGGGTTATTTTTAGCTGATCTAGTTTTAAAGAAATGAGAGGAAAACCTCCCTACCTGGTATCCCTCAATGTACTGCTGCAGGCCGGTTCCAGTGTCAACTACAGGCAGCCACCAAACCACAGCTTCAGTGGAAGACACGGGCCTGGCGTAGACATCTGTGGGAGGTTCTATTGGAACTGAGTGACCAGAAAAAATATATTTTAATTTACAACACTTCTAAAATTATACTGTGCACTAGAAATTGAGATTAAATGTCATTAGAAACTGATAAGGCGTATAATCAAATACAAATTCTTACCATCTCTTGGATAATAGATGACCTTGGTGAGGCTGTACGGTCCATCTCCTTTAACATTGAATGACTTTATCTTCACCTGGAACTCTCGCACCAGAAAGTCCTCATCGGTCGGAATGAAGTAGGAGTCTCTGTGAACGTGTCGTCTCGTCTCGGGGTCCGAGATGGTTTCATAAAACCAGTCGTAGGCATTGTGAGGCTTTAACGCAACAATGTACCCAAATTTCTTGCCATAGAAATACCAGGGCTGAACAGGCTGACAATTGCCAAATAAAAAGAAATCCATGTTCATTAGAAACAGAGAGGAGACATGAATTTAACTCGTGAATTTGGAAGCTTACGTTCCACGTGATGACAATCTCGCCATTTCTTCCTCCATATCCTGCCAAGTCTGTGGGAGAAACGACTGGAGCTGCACAAAAAAAGCGGCCTTTTGTTAGTTTTTGCTAAAAATTTGCCTCATGGCACAATCATACATAAAACAATTCTCAATGTACTTACGGGCATCCCAGGTTTTGATCTTAAGGGAAGGTATACTGGCCTCCCCGGAGCCGTACTCATTGGTGGCGATGATCCTGAACTGGTACTCCATCCAAGGGTATAAGTCTGTGATGTCTGCTTTCTCCAGAGTGCCATCGAGAACGGATGGAGCTGAGGGACACAATTAATGACAGCTTAAAATTTGTTTGAACTAAAGCTTGTACTGAAACTGCATTCATTGCTGTTGGTCGTCTTTGGAGCAAGATGGCCCTCTGCTGGCCTAAATCGGGACTCACATGTGCTGGCATTCCTCCAGTCGTCTTCATTCAAAGCCCAGAAGTGTTTGGTCTGAACAGTGTAGTACAGGATGGGGCTGTTGTGCTCAGCTGGTTTGGACCACAAAAGTTTCACCCAGGTGTCGCCAATCTCCTCGATCCGGAGCACACCGGGAGGCCCGGGTACACCTGGAGGTTCCACGTGCAATTGATTTAAATCACTAGTGCAAACGTCAGATAGTGGTCTCGGTTATTATTTTCATGCACTGGCTTACCTACGACTTTCAGGTCAGCATAAGCGGTGTCGTCATCCACCACGGTTTGAGCGGTGCAAGTGTAGCGGCCTTCATGCCAAATCTGCGCATTTTTTATCCTCAAGTCACCAACTCCATCTTCGCTCTGATCAACACAAAAAATAATGGATCTCAGGAAAGTTCCAATTGTGAAACATGTTTTCAATAATTACATCCAAATAATATATTTATATAAAATAATAATTCTTCTCAAGGTTGAAAAAATTATTAAAATGTTGACTTACCATTACTCGCTCATAGTGTTCCCACTCGGCATTGAAGTCAATGACTCTGAAGTCAATGGCCCAGATAAAAGTGATGTCCAGCATGGGGTCGTACGAAGCAGCGCAGTGAAGAATCACCTCGTCTCCAACTCGAACTTCAGAGTCTTCGGGTGCTACGGTTAAACTTGTTGGCTCTGAAAATAATTTAAAAAAAACTGATCCCACGTCCAAATCATCATGGACAACAATAAGGAACTACAGCATTGTAAGTGAGTATAAACATGCATTTTATTTTTATCGTTTGCCTTTTTCATCTTAAGGTTATATGTCATACATAGCAGTGGACAATGAGAAATTTTACTAAGTATTTATTCTTTCTTTTATACCAAACACACCTGAAAGTGTGTGTTTTTAATAGCTCAAACTTATTCCTGATTTTGGGGTATTAACACACTTCTGATTAACTTAAATAGCAAGAATTGAAGTGGCTAAATCTTCTTTCCCAATTGAGCCATTCTTCAATAAAGCCAGGAATGACTTACTTATTATTCCTGGATATGCTAATCAGTTAAAAAGTGAAGCACAAATTTTAAAATGTCTCCGTTCCGTTAATTTTACTTGAATGGTTGGCAATGGCAAATGTCACACATGTAAATTTCAGTAAATAAGAAAAGCATTTTTATTTTCTTTAATGTGAAATGTTTTCCATGAATGTAAATGAAAAAAAACATTAAAAAAACTCCAAAGGACTTCAAAACCTTAAAAAAAATTAACTTTTTTGACATAAAATCACAAATTTCAACTTTTTTAGACAACAGAACTGGAGACAGTAAGCTCTCATAACATTTTGTATAAAACAAGACATATTTTGACATGCTGTAAACATGCCCACGTGACGGTGACTTTACATAATTTCCTTTTAACTGTCTGCAAAACTAAAAAAAGACCTTAGAAAGGTTCTGACTAAAGTTATTCTAAGTTTCAAGGTTTTATGGGGTTTTTTAAAATAAAAACTAGTTAGTTTTAAAGGCAATAATTGTACTAAAAAACAACAAAAAGTGGAATAGATCTGGGACTATGAATGTTGCTACTATGATGCAGCTAACCTGTGATGGTAAGATATCCTGAACTGTCGGCTTTCCCTCTGTCATTCTCGGCGAAGCAGGTGTAAAGGCCTTCGTCATTTTTGGTGGCGTTGCGGATCTCCAGGCTCCCATCGAACATGACAGAAACACTGAAAGCAAGCAGAATCATGTCTGTTGAATAGAAAGTTGTTTGTTACTTCTCTGTTTCATAGGGAAATTGCTTCTGCTCACCGTGAACTGTTGAAGAGGACCTCTTTGCCCTTCGTCCAGGTGAATCGAGGCTTCGGAGCGGCTCTCGGCTTGCACTCTATTACCACGCGTCTGTCTCTGGCTCCAAGGAGATACTTCTTTACTGGGTTGAGCTCGAATGTAGGAGCCCAGGCTGGTGGGAGATAGTAGATGGGAATTTCAGTTTAAAAACTGTTGTCCCCCCCAAAAAAAAGAAAGAAAGAATTGGTACCTACCAACAACTCGTAGCTCAGCGTTGGCATATTTGATGCCCCAGTAATTCTCAGCAATGCACTGGTACATCCCAGAGTCATCAAAAGTTAGACTGGAAAACTTCAGCTCGCCTTTGCCATACTAGAGAAACAACATGCCAGAGAGGAGTGCAGTTTTGTGGAAAACAATGACAGTTCAGATGACACAAATTGTTTAAGAAAAAGCTTACAAAGAGATTTTTACCATATATCCATCTTTGTACCAACGGATGAAAGGGAAAGGTTTTCCTGAAGCCACGCAGCGCATTGTGTGTTCAGATCCAATGTCCACTTGAGTGTTGTTGATTGTTTCTGCCCATTCAGGTGCAGCTACATGAAGATAACAACTATTATGATTATTATTTGCAGAAATGCAAACAAAGGTGAACATTTAACATGACTTACACTCCACATAAAGCCAGTTTTTATGCCAGTCCTTTCCTTTGGTGTTGATGGCTTCACATTCGTATGAGCCAACATCCTCATACTGAACATTGTACAGATGAAGCACAGCGCCTGATTCACTGATCTCATGATTCGCAGGGAGGTCAGTGGCGTCCACCTTCCTCCACACAATATGTGGGATGGGACTGAGTGAGCATGGCAGTAAACAAAGACAGGGACTCAATACTTAGGGAACAGTATTTACTTTTATCACATTGCAAACGCATTTACAGCATTTGACATTCTTTACTATTAAGTCAACAATTAGAAATTATTTTTTGCAACATTTTTAGTGGTTTTAGAGCATCTTTTTCAAAAACTATAACTGCTTATCTATAGACTAGAGTAGACTAAGGCCTTCCATAGCTCAGTGTTTTAACTTTGTGACTAACCTTAATTTATTTGCAAGTGCTCTGCTGATTTTTATAGTGTTACAAAAGTTTACCCAGAAAGCTTTAAAAACATACTTTCCAAGAGCAAAGCACTCCAACGTAATATTGGAGGCCAGCATTGCAGTGGTGTCTGGAAACTTCACCCTAATGTCAGCTGGGTATTTTCTCTCCTCACCTGGACAAAAAAAAGAACCAAACAAAAAAAACTGACAAATATGAATGACGCTGAACATTAAACTTTTTTATTTCAACCTGCCACAGATTATGACTAACCGTCTTCTGGAGGTAAAGGGATGAGTGGGATGAACTTGGAGTAGACGCTCTTTCCTATGATAGGACTGGAGACGAAGCAGGAGTAGTTTCCAGCATCCTGAGCTTCAACCTTTGCGATGTACAAGTTCCCCGTCTTCTGGGAGACGAACCGACGGCGGTCTGTGGGCAGGAATACTGGGAACTCGTTGAAGATCCAGCGATAGCTTACTTCCTCTGAAAATAACAACATAGATGAGTGGGTAAAGTGAAATTTGGACGTCTAAACAAACGTTTTTGACAAATCTTAATTTTTTAGACCCATGAAGAGTGTATACATACGTGGCCAGGATTTTGGTGGGACACACAGCAGAACTGCTCCCTGGCCTTCTTTGACATACACTGGTTCCCTTTCCTCATCAGGAAATTCCTCAATATCTACATGAGAAAATAAAACAAACAAAAACAATAATAATAATGATTAAATTAGCTGCTAAACAAGCTTTGGACTAATTTGACCATCTTTCAAAGCCAACTTAATAACATAGATTATTAGTTATATAATTTATTTCTGTGCTCACATCCAAACTTGATTCGGGCCTCCTTGCTGAGAACAGTGCCATAGATATTACGGGCCACACACGTGTACGTGCCAGCGTGTTTCTTCTGGATCGGGTTGGTGATAACCAGGTTTCCTCCAACTAGGCTGTAGTGTTCATCGGGTTGCTCCATCAGCTTGATCTCCCAGTTATCCCGGCGCCACCTGTGCAGGAAAATACCATTCATGTGGCGTGCGGACCAGAAATGCTGTGCACAAAGAAATGTCCTCCTTACCTGTACGTAGCTGGAGGATTTGCACGGGCCCTGCAGTTCATGGAGATCCTCTTATCGGGTGAGTCATCGGTGTAGACCACATCCATAGGCTCTTCTTCAAAAATGGGACCATAACCTGTGGCATCCTCTGAGACAATGTAAGAAAATATGTTAGTTTGTGTTTAAAAACCTCACCGAATAAGCCTTGGCGTTTTAAACTCACCTCCATATATTCTGGGTTCACCAAATAAGACCGCCACTAATCAGGAAGAAACATTGAAACATTGTCATGATCCCTGACGATGAGAATGCAATCTGTTTCATCAATGTAGTTTTAGTCTTACATGTGACGGACATGGAGGAGAAGAGGCCCAGCAGTAATAAAGGTGTGGAAGCCATGATGGTCAGCAAGGAGAGTCTGTGCAACCGAGTAAGTTAGATGGATGGAAAGACGGGGGCAAGGAAGGAGGACGGACAGGACATGAACTGGGGTGGGCTGAGAGAGACCAAAACAGAAGACATTTGCATTCACTTGAGCATCAAGAAATGTGATTTTGTCCAGAGAGATAGGTACTGTTTGACATCTTAAATTGGATCTATTTTGAGTCAGTAAATGTATCATACCCAAACGCTACGAGGTGTGGAAGATGTTATAAGGGGATGAAGACTGAATAAACTTATCATTTCTGAATAAATAGTTCTACATTTTTTTTTTCATCATTTACATGTATTCTCTGTATTATGTAACATGTTGGATTTGGACATTTCAGCAGGCTTTTGCAAAATTAAGGTTTGTGTGGGAAAGTCAGATTTAGCAATAAAGTAGCTCTAGTTATAGTACAAGATACTAAAACTAAATTAGAATTTGGATGTACTTTGCCTTTTTTTTAAATAATAGTGAAGCCTTTTTTTTTGCAGAAACTAATCTCTTGCACACAACACATTGGTGAAAGCATTTAATGACTGCATTATAGCAGGAACTGGGGACAATGTTTAGATGTTTTTTCTTGTCAAGAAACCAGAATTAACAATCTGCAACAACTGGTCAAATTGAACAAAAATCTGAAATCATCAACAGAATTCTGATTATTGCATCTCGAATTTTGTCCCATTGTGGTTGACTGTTTAATCATCATACTTATATGAACCTGCACATGTGCAAGCAGGGCGATATGTGAGACTTTCCAGAACAGAAAAGCTCCAAGCTGACCCATCTATCTGCAGTCCTCCTAATAAGTATAAACGATTAAGGATGCCAGTGACTCAGCAGAAAAAAAAAACAGTACAGAGACACGCTTTCCTGAATCGCAACAATAAATCCCCATAAAGGCAAAACAGAAAGAATCTCTGCAGTATGCAATGTGTCTTGTTGTGTAATCACACAGTAAGAAAGAATCAGAGAGGCTGAGTTAGCGGTTTAAGATTAAAACAGATACAGAGGGAGCTGCTAAATATAGCAGAATGCAGAGTACAGGGAGAGGGCTCAACCTTCTGTGTGCAGACTCAAACATTACGCTGGAAAATTATACAGCTAAATATACAGAATGTAAACTGGAAACCTTTGCATCCACATCCCCTAGTATCTTCAAGAGAAAATATACAAACTACACTTCTGGTTGAAATGGATATCAAGTCAAGTAATTATTATTTTTTTGTTTGTTTTTTTGCTTGGCAGGTAATCGCCAACAAGAGATGTTTTGGGCCCTTCTGTGTAAAAATCCGAATCCTTGCTTGAATGATTAAGCATTTAATATAAAAGGAAAACACAGCAAGGATGGGAACAGATACCTCTTGGGTACACCATGTGTAGAAGGACACTGTGCCTGTATAAAATATTTACCTTCTTAGTACTTGTGTGTGTTTTTTGTCACATTCAAACTATCAAACAAGACAATGTACAAAAAAAGTCATTTTCAAATAATTTAAGTGAAAACAGCATCATTACTCAAAATACTTTCACAAAGGTCTTGGTGATTGTCATGATGTTGTTTGGTAAATGTGAGTTTTTGCTAATGTAATTCTAGCGTTTGAACTCTCCCATTTTCTTTAATCTATAAATATTGCTGAGGACCGCTGTGGCAATATTAGGTTATAATTGTTTGGGCACTTTTTCCTACCACAGATTTTCCCTCCACTTAACTTCCCTTTTTTATGCATGGTTACAGCGACAACATTTATTTTGTGGTTAACTTTCCTTGTGGAGGGGTGCTGGTAACTCTCCTATTAAAAATGTAACGTATCCAAAAGCACCTGTAATTCTTAAAATCAGATTTGGCTAAAATCAGTATCAACAGGTGAAAACGTTACAAAAATGAGACATCTTAAATGGTCCATAAAATTTTGATCTGCACACCTCCAATGTAGAACTCCAGAATGAGAGCAAAACTCCTGTTCAAGGAAAAGCAAAAAATATTACAAGGAGTGTTGAAATTTTGTGCAATGTCATTCCTTATTGGCCACAAATAACTATGAATGAGAAAATAATGTCAATAAAGCTCTTCACCAAGAAGAGCCATAGTTTAGAGGGAGTGCAACCCAATGCATAGGAGACCGGAGCTCTGGATCCGGAGGCAGTTCTGATGACTCAACACTAACATTGCTACGACACACAGCACTTAGCTGCATGTGTTGTGCCACTGCAAGTCAATATGCCCTCTGTCCACCTTCCGGACAGAGAGAAAGCATGAAACAGCAACGTCTCTTCAATCAGATCTCCTAAATGACAATGTGGTGTCACAAGACACGTCTCAATGATGCAAAAACCTTTAAATATCGTTTGATGGTTTATCTATCCCATTCTAGATCTATCTGATCAATTTTTTAGAGAGTGTTTTCATGGTTTCCCCTCTTTTGGTAATCCCATCACAGATCCTCTTTGGATTTCCTGCCAGGAAATTTAGGTCACATGTATTAAGCCAAGCCTACTGTTTCAGCCACTGGCTGAACGGTGATGTCTGCTGTGGCTTTGTGGATTCAGAGAATCACAGTCAGAACAATCTCTGAATTAAAAAAAAAAAAAATAGAGAGAGAGATTGTCCTCTGTAATCCTATATGCACAAGTCCTGATTTAAATATAGGATTTGGATATTAAAAAACCCTAAAAATATTATACTAACTACATTGTGTCGAGTGCTGAAGAACTTCCAGGAGACGCTATGCGTTTTCCTACCACAGGCAAAATAAGCAGAGGAATCACAGACTTTAACAGCAGAAATTCACAAGAAAACAAAAGTTTTTATAAAGCTAATTCAAACGAAAAATCAACTATTTCTACCTTGCATCCATCTAGACGGATGACGAGGCAGAAGAATCGGATCAGTATCCGATCAGAACACTATGGCAGACAATCATTAAAAAATTGGCCAGTGCTTTACTTTCTCTCTCTCTCTCTTTTTGTTTTTTGTCCCAATTAAGAAAAAAAAAACATTTTAGGAAATGATTTGTTATTGTTCATGTTATTTTTTTTTGTTATCTTAGTTGATCTACAAAAAGGGCTTTTGTGCATAAAAGTTAAACTATTTCCCAGGATTTTTTTTTTTACAGAAAGTAGCATAATGGTCATATGCAGCAGAACATGCATGGGCAATTCTGAAAGCGAGATATTGCATTTGTGTATAGACACTGAGGGAGTGGCCATGTAATCCTCGGATGCAGCTCCCTTCGCCCTTGCAGCGTCTGTCACTTTCACCTTGCGTTTCCGCCCTACCTTTACCATTACTTGTGTGTTTATTGAGAAGTCTGCGACTCCGACTACAGAATGACTCTTTTTTCCCCCTAATAGTTCAACGAGGCCGTCAGGATAAAAAAAAAGTAGCTGCGCAGCTTCTTACATCACCTCACCCTAATGACGCCGGAGCGGCACCGGTAATTCGTAGCTCTGCATTGCGGTACTTCCAGAGCCGGTCCACTTCAGCGCCACGGCGAGCCCGAAACACTCCGCCGAAATTAAGAGGCACGAAAGGCGAAGCGCGGTCGGTCTTACCTTCGAGACAGAAGGACTGGGAAGAAGAAGAAAAAAAAGACCCAACGAGAACAAGAAAAAAAAAAAAAAGGAAAAATCAGTCGCCTGTCTTCATGGCACTCGTGAACCCGAACCGCATCTCCCCCCAGAAACGAGCCCACCCGCCGGAACGTCCCGTTCAGGGTGAACTTTTCTATTGGCTGAAAGCGGCGCGTGAGGAGCGCGGCGACGCGGTGGCTGTGATTGGTCCAGGAGCAGGAGAGGATGGGAGGGATGCAGGAGAGACGCAGCTGCGCATCCCAGACAGGCAAGGACGTCATGGAGATGATGAAAACGGACAGAAGTATTTGCCCACCTGCGGATTTCCCCCCCACCCCCTGTCTTATATTGCTCTCTACTTTTACTTTGAGGTGGGGATGTCACACTTTAAAGTTTTTTACTAACATTTAGGGCGTAAATATTCTTTATTATGATCATCTTTTTCTTTAAGTTCTTAAAATCATCCGAAGACATGCTGATTTAAGATCCCATCCCACTGTTATAATGGACGGGTTCATGAACTCTGAAATAGCACCAAACCTGAATGACAATTGTTTCTTAATGGGTCACTATTGATGCGAAAATCACTCATGTTTTCATTCTTAAAAGAACATAAGTTAACATCTCTCAAAATGCTGCTCAATCTATAACCTAAAGGTGAAGTTTGTAAGATTGTAAACTTACTCAAACATGGTTGCCTTAAAGAATAAGGAAGAAAAGCATTAAGAAGTAAAGAAGGCCAACTGTGATTCTGAAAAAGCTGCAAAGACACAAAGTTTACGTAGAACAATCTGTGAACACATCGATTCTTTATGCAGTCGATAAATCTCGGCTTCATGGAAGAAGAAATGCATCGCAGTTGTGGAGGAAAACATACTGGATGTAAAAGACATCAGTCTAAAGGTGACGTTCACATTTTACCAGGAGAACAACATTAACTACACAGCCCGAGCTACAATGAAAGAGGTTCAAACTCACACTGTATTGACTATGTTGACAATGGTCCAATCAAAGTCCAGCCCTGATTTTACAAATTGAAAAGAAACGTTCAAACATGTAAAGATTGAATAGATACACTAGGTGGAGCCAAATCTCACACTTTAACATGTTGCACTGGAGCAAGGATACAAAAATAAACTGATTTGAAATCCCGAAACCAACATTTATTCATTTTTTTTTTGTACTTCATTTAAAATACAAAATATTTTGCAGTATTATATTGTGAAGTAAACCATTCAACAGCCTTTCATGCTTCTCATGTAGCTTCAACATTAACCAAAATGTTATAATTATATACCGTTTCAGCCAGCAACATTATTTCCAGGGTATTCACACTGAAATGCACCAGTTAGTGTGTCCATGCCATCCTATTGTATTCTCCAAATTAGTAGTATATTTCTCATTTTCCAGTGCACAATCCTTAAAAAAGGCATCTAATTTAGGACAATCTGGTTGTCCTAAATTAGATGTGCAAACTTAATTTGAAATAATAGTCCACTTATTTTTTTTTTGTAATATTTATATATATTAATATAAAAAGGCAGAAAATGTGCATGGACTGCCAGAAATAGAAACAATACAGGTGTCACAAGAGCTCAGTCACAAGTTAAATCATCAGAGGTGATATCCGATACTGTAGGCTAAACATGTTTACCTGACGATAATATAAAAAAAAAACTCCAAAAAGAAGATCACACTAAATCAAAGAGTGAAAACTAGAAGTCGTCTAATTCCTCACAGTCTAACTTCCTCACGCCACGCCAACTCTGATCTTAACACGTCTACGCTCAAATCAAACCGTTATTTACAATAGACAAAAAAATACAGATCTACACGCGTTGTTCTGGCATGTTGAAACCTAAAAACTTGATGCAAGTTATGATAAGACATTAAAATGCTTTAAGAAACCAAACAAAAACAAAAAAAAAAGAATCTCCTATGTCCAGAAGGAGCAAACTACAGGACACACATTGGAACATTGGAAAGCACTGTGCACTACGCGCATGCACACACACGTACACACACACGCAGACATATGCAGCATGCATGTGTGGCACACGCGTGAACTCAGACAATCACACCTGCAAAAACATGAAACCTGCACTCAGACTGTAATAACGTATACTGCAGAAGGTAAGCATAAATGCATAAATCAAAGTCACCAGTGCAATCACTCCTTGAAACGAAACAAGCAGTATTTTCATTCACATAAACAGATACACTTGTATCCACATTCAGTATTATTATCCCCCATCTCCTGACCTCCACTTATTTTTCCCCAATGGTGACGGTTACAACAGGACGAGACAAGGTGGTGAAGCTGGTTCACACTGGCAGTTATCTGGTGAGCAGTTTGGCAGTACTTTAGTTTGGGGTTTTGATGAATGGGTTGAGAAAGGGAATGTTTGACATGAAGGTGCGATCTAGAGTTTCCCATCACATGCTCATTTCAGAATTGCTTAACTTTTTGTCGGAGGATGGAAGCTGAAAAACATGATTGTCGGCAAAGCTGCGACCATTGAGTCAAAGTAGGTTCCTTCCACTTGCTGCCACTTTTGAAATCTGTTTTCAGCCTTGTGTGGGAACCTGGACTTAACATTTTCTTCAGATATTGTAAAAGAAGTTGAGGAGGTAATCTGGGTCTCACGTCAGCTATCATTCATTCGATCTTTCAGACCTCCCAAACATAGAAAAACAAACAAGGACACCCTTGAAGAAACTCTAGAATACACAGCCATGGAGGGGTTTTTCCAATCATTTCAAAGAATATCATTTCAATTTGTTAATTTGTTCTTTAAAGCTTACAAAATGGTGAAATCTGTCATATTTTCTGGCAAAATAAAGGTCATTATCAGCTTTATATTAAGAACTATTTAAAAAACAAAAATTTTTGTTTAAAAGCTCTTTTTTTTCCATGAAGTGCCTTTTATGAAGCTTTGAACATCCACCTTGTTTTGAAAATTTTGGTTTGCATAAATTGGCATTGAACTGTGGATCTAGGTAACTGTTTTCTACCAAGGCACTAGAAACCATGCGGACAGCTTTAACACGTCGTTAAATACCCCAAATATTCTTAGCAAACTTGTACGATTAGAATATTTCTGTAAGTATGTGTACATAACACAAAGGTGGAGGATTAATGCCAGTGAATTTCATGTTAAGATGGGAGAGTGTTGACAGGGATTGCACAGCAGGTGGAAGCAATAGGCAGCGACACTGGATCAGTCATTAGTGTTCAGCAACAATGCAACAGTAATAGAAAACAATCATTGTAATAGAATACAATGATGATGGTAGAAACCAGGACTGTTTGGAGCCAGTGGCTTGGAAATGTGTTGATACTTTTACGTTTTTTTTATTGGCTTTTGCTACATTGCAACCTTAGCTTCAATGTATTTTCTAATGGCCAACGTAGACGTTGCATAACGGTAAAATAGAAGGATATGGATTTATGGTAACCAATATTTTTTTGCAATTGTAAAATAAGAAAAGGGTGGCGTTCATTTGTGCTCTGCTCCTTTTACGCCTTGATTTATCCAGACAAAATCCAACCATTTTTCTACATGTGCCTGTTAATTGGAGGGTGTGCCTTTAACTTCTGAACAATGGACAACGGAGGCATTCACCCTGTATGACAAAGGACATGAGGGCATGCGGGCGCTCACAGAGGCCAGATATATGGCATGCATGTTTTTCAGTTGAGGAGGGAAAAAAAATCAAAGTACCTGGAAAGAACCCATGACCAGAAAAGCCCCCTGCTAAACTGTAACCAAGGAAAGTCAAAAGTTTCCAACTATCAGCACTTGTCTTTAAAAATCACCAAGGAGGAGATACATTGGGGGATCAGTGAACAAACTGTATCACGACAACTTTCATTAACCACAAAAGGAAAGAATATGACACAATTTGCAAAACAAAACGAGCCTATATTAAGCTTCTTTTTTTCGTTTTGCCAACATGCAAAATGAAAAAATGTGGTGGAAATATAACATAAGAAATCCCCCAGGGCAAAAGTTCCAGTTTCTAGATTTAGAAAGCTGGTAGAGACATACCCCAAAAAATTTTCACCTGCAAAAACAAGATTAGTGTGATTCAGCAAAATACAAATGCACGCCACTTTCTTAGTGAAAAATATTTAGAGAAATCCATGTGTCAATTATGAATCACCTTGTGTTGGTCTCTCCTATAGAATCCCAATAAAATCCATAGAAATATAAGGTTGCAATGTGAGAAAACGTGAAAACATTTAGTTTAGCACTGCGTTGCTAGCGTGCGACACCAGGCTGTCTCTCCAGGCTTTATGACTGGACACACCTGACCTGGAAGTACAGCTCCCACTCTTTCTCTAGCACACACGCACAAACAGTCCATCTGTAATAAAATAAAGAAAAGTAGTTAAATGAAAACACCTACTAGTTTCTATTTTGAGTCACTCTTTTCGCAGCTGGAACCACAATACCACTGCTGCCATTTTTTCTTCTATACGTCAAACATCATATAACACTTTTCTGCAAGTAAGAAAATAACACCCTGGTTCATAGGCGTGCACCGAATACAGTGTAAGATGCAGCAAACTTCTGCAAAAAAACAAAACAAAAGAAAGACGAGAGGAAAGTAAAATGCTTAACAGACAGGATTTGCTCCATGCAGTTGCTTATGAATGTGATTCACGTATATTAGCCTGCCTGCGGATCATATGCCATACTTCCATCAAATATATATATATATATTCGCTATATTTATCATGTTTGTAAAGAGATCACTAACACGCACACGTACACTTGGCCACACTCGTGTTTCAGTCCGAGTGGTAAAATCCCCTCTGGCACTTTTCGTCTGCTTTTCAGTATTGCTCGCTGTCTCTTTTCTTCTTTTCATGGTTGTGGGGGATTCGTATGTGTGTGTTCACTGGTAGGTCACAGTGCCACTGGGGCCGGCGGGGTGTGGAGATGAGAACATGTCAGCAGTCTTGGTGTAAAGGTAGCCTTGACCACCAGAGTGACGGCAACCACAGGGTAAAAGTAGGTGCACCACGACGGCTGTCGCCTTAGCAATTGTCACCACCGGGACGATCACATTTGCCAGGGTGACGCGGGGACGGCAGCAGCAACCGCTCCGGCCAGGAGGCGGCCGCCTTAGACAAACGAGTTCATGGCGTTGACGGGCGACGGCGCCTCCGAACTCTCATTGCCCTCGTGCGTGTCCTTCTCTTTCTTGCCGCTGTACTGGCCGATGAAGGAGCCGTCCTCGTTGAACTGTCCGTCCCCACCCTCCCCGTAGTCCACTAAACTGTCGTCGCTCTCGTCGCGCCGCACCGTCCCGTTGGATGGTGTCCGGCTGCCCTTCAGTGGCTTGTGGTCCTCGGTGTCACTGTTAGAGGACGGGAAGGTAAAGCAGCGAAAAATCACTGAGAAAATATTTATACTGTTGACCAAAATTCAAACAGGCTCTTCATACACATTCACATTCTACAGCTTTTCCACTGCACAATGCCACGGTGGCATTTCTTGACGCCAAATGTTAAATCTACAACAATTAGTCATGGGTCAGATCATGGTAAACAATGACTTTCTAGAGCCTCCCATTGTATTGTTTTTGTGGCATAAGGTAGTTGCTGCAGACTGACAGCAGGCCAAGGGAAAGGAGTTATTAAATGTCATTTTTTTTACTATTTTAACACAATATTTTCAACAAATACTGGCAACAACATGCAAAAGCTAGAAAGTCTGTTTAACTAAACAGGTAAAATACAAATGGAGAAAGGATTCTATCACCAAATATCATCAGATTTCAATACTCTCTGTGTATCTATCTGTTATACCAGACCATGCCTAATTACAACTACACAAATTAATTATGTAAACATTTTCTGCACATTTACTGTTTATATTACATTTTATCGTCCATCGTACTTGTACAGTGGAGCAGCTCAGCTACACAAAAGTATCATGTCTAGCGTTAGTGCTTTAATGCTTGAAGCCTAAGCACTAAAGGAGGAAGTCAGCGAAGTGCGTGCTGTTTGACTTGTTGCAGTGTACCTGAATAAGAACTATTTTAGTCAATATGCCAGCAGGTAACATGCAGCAATCCAAAATGCAATCAGAATCTCTATTTTGATGCTGCATTTCAGTAAGAATTCCTTGATCTAGTCCTTTTTTATGCAAGCTTTTCAAGGATAATATCAACATATCCTTTAGATTTTTGTTTCTGTACCCACTGTCTATTTACAATCAATAAAGCAGTATTTATTTGTTAAAATTATGAAGGTAGAGTAAATAAAAGCAACTCTTTTTGTGTTAGACAATTCACTAAGGTAATACAGACCCAGTTGCACATGGTATTAACTGAAGGGAATAACTTTTAAGAATCTTTTTAAAACTGTAGAGAAGTTGATAACTCATTATTGATTACAGACCATTATAGATGGTTTGAAATAAAGTTGGAAATATAAAACTCTTCTGTGCTATACTAAAACACGCAACAAAAAAATTCTGCACATACGCAACTTAGACCGCTCTCTTCAAATTTAGGCAAATAAACATTTTACAATTAATGTGGATCCAATGGCATAATAGCTTGTCTTTTCCATTTTCAAGGCACTGGGCAATAGTAAAAAATAAGATATATGCATCAGGGTGACATTACGGAACTACATAAAATAGATATATTTATGTTAAAGCTTTTTTGATAGATCTATGCATGAGCTGCCAATGACAAGTAGCCATGTTTGCATCGACTGTAAACAAAATGAGTGATAGTGGCTACATTTATGACCTTTGGATAACTGTCAGCACATAAACATTTTTTTTATCCATTGCATAAAAACAAATAAAAACTACTGACAAGGAAACTAAGAGCTTTAAAAGACAGTAGTGACAGATTTTCTGACACTAATATTCAAGTTATTAAATGTTATTAAATGAACAAGGCTGTCAACTTAATGCCAGGTGTAAACAGGGTCTGCGCTGATGCCGTTTGTCCCCACAAATTAATCCACTAAAGTTAGAAAGCGCTTTAAAAGCAACCGGGGGTTGCAGTAGGTGCATGCTGGTTTTATTGCATGTCTTACCTCTCCATTGACCTAAATCCCACAGAGGAGAAAGATAGAAATGCAAATTTACATAAACAGCACTTTACGGATAAGTCATTAGTTTTTGGCTACAGAAAATGTGTACAACTCACAAATATGAAAACTTACAAGGATGCAAGTTTCCATTTGCATCTTTGTAAACTAAGCATGCAAATGGAAAGTAGAAAATTAACGAAAAAACTAAACAAAAACAAACAAAGCTCCTTTAACGGTTAAACCAAAGAAACCAAATTATTTTAATACTATATCTCTAAATTCCAAAGTATACCTTGACCTAATAATGTCATCATTATGTCAAGGTTCTTAATTACATCTGCCAAATCAGATGAGCTGATTGAAAGCACTAACAATGCATTTGTTTCAACATTTTAGAATTAGTTAGTGTACATGACTGGATATTGCTCAAAGCTGAAGTACTGAGGATTAATCAGAACTTTTTCAGGATTACATGGTCAATTAGATGGCCAATGAAAAGGTGACTTGGTAAATAAAGCATGTTTTGAAATTTGCCTTGCCTCGATGGAGCGTTTGAAAATGGAGCCAGGTGATGGGGAGTGTCTCTGTAACCTGATGACATGTTTTACATACATGAAGTAAATTAAAAAACAAACATGTATTTCTTACTGTAACTCTATTGTAGCGTGCTCTCTCTCACCTGTACTCCCCGAATGTTCCATCGTCCTCCTTCATAGGTTGGATCTCTGGGTCTTGGTGAGCGTCTTCTTTCTCTTTAACTGCAGATAACACAATGAGAGCCCTTTAAATATGCACTCTTCCATTCGCCGCACTTACGTCGTTTAATGGTGCCAACTGTGCTTTACCTGGATATTTGCCACCTTTGTTTCTCTTGATGAAGCACACGATGAGAAGCACCAAGATCAGGAGAGCGATGGCGCACATCAGTCCAATAAACCAGCCCTGCGTGGCGATGTCTACCTGCCGGTTGGGGACAGCTGGAGGAAAAGACGCAGAGAGACAGGAAGGGGAAAAGAACAAATGGAAAGTGTGAGAACAACTGACTTGAATATGTTTGAAGAGATGCACCAATAAATGGGCGGGAGATCTGAAAAATGGCTGACTTAGTTTGATTGACCTTGGCCAACGCTTGTGTGGTGGTTAGAACATCAAAAATATTAAATCTGTCTTATTGGCACATTAGGAAACAAGGTGCCCAGCAAACAACCTTTGATGTGGAAGCTGTTGCCTACCAAACTCAAAACTTAGCTATTTTCTGTAGCAGTGAGGTGTTTAAAATTAAGTCTGAAAAAGCACAAAAAGAGAAATTGTTGAGAAGAGTCTGTTTTCACATAAAATAATATTCTTAGCTCATCCAAGTAGCTATAAACAAAAAGGAAGCAACTCTTCTTTTGTCTTATCCTTCTGAGGTTTTGACTCTCTGCTATGGAGCTTACTGGATTTATAAAAGCTGAAAGTTAAGCTAAAGGTCCATAATTTCCATGAACATACAAATAAAGAAAATTGTTAAGGTCAGTAGTCCTACCCACTCACTCTTACAAATATCTATTGACTCCTCACACTACAAAAACAGGACAAAACAAGCTAACAAAAAAACCCATTAAATTTGATCAAACTGAAGATCAGAAATCTGCCACAAAACTTGGTGCATCTCTTTACATTAATAGTGAAACTTAAATGTTTGGGTGGTTCTGTTCATGGAGTCCAAAACTAAAGTTAACAGACATTTCAAACTTTGAAATAAAATTTCAAATATGGATTAACATGCAGTTTTTTTGAGACATTAAGTAAAATGACAGAGTAAATAGAACAAAAATAACAGAAAAAAATGCATATTAGAATTAATGTCAATGTCACATGCAACATTTATTTTGTTTTGTTCTTTTTTTCTTGAAGTTTATTTCTTTATTCATTACACTTTCATATGCAACATCCCATGTATTTCATTGTCCTTTTATTGAGCAAAAATTTTTGTTTTTCTTTTCTGGATATTATTTGAGTCCAGAGGAAAGATTTAATGATTTACTGCACAGTAAAAATTCCTGTTCTTGTCTTTAAAGATTTGTGTTTATTCCTATCGGAGTTGCTTTTGGATTACATGCGTCACAACTATTGACTAAAACACCACCAAAGGCAGGTCTAATTCAACACAAACTTCTCCCAATTCTTCAGTAAAATGTTTCTGACAAACAGGTCTTTTCACGAAATGAACCTTTTTAGGAAAAAAAGAACAAAATTTGAAATATGGCGTGATGAGCACGAGAAATGAAAATGACCTGAAGTAAATGACGACAACTACAAAATGACTACATTCACAGCTGACTGGAACAGTCGACGCCTGGTGACTGAAAATAACAGAAAACTGACTTAAATCAAAGACAGAAGACAATCTGCACCCTGAGGCACGCCGCCTCACCTGGCACCGTAACCGACACTTCTTTGGTCTTGTGGACCGCCGGGCCGGCGCCGTCTCTAGCTACCACGCGCACAGAATAAGACGTCCCCGGCTTTAGACCTCTTATAGTATGCGAATGTGTACCATTTACTGACTCCCTTTTCCATTCATCATCGCCTGGAAGTGGTGCAGCGCATGGAGAGGGATTAGAATCGGACAACATTTGGAATAGCTGTATGCACAGACATTTTGAAGATGGAGGAAGCAAGGAAATGCCTTACTGTTCTCTACAACATATTCCACAAATAAAATCTTATTGTGTCCAAAGTATTCCCAACTGATCACTGGGCCTTCCTCTGACACAGAAGCGTTAACTGTTCCGAACACAGGCCCAGCAGAAGGCACTGGGCAAACAAAAGAAAAAACAGACGTTCTTATTTAAATATGAATCAGAAATTTCAGCTTAGAATTTTTTTTTTCCATTATATTCAAGTTGTTAGAATTTTCAATTGCTACTAAAAAGAGTCAAAAGTCAGTGTATTCATGCACATAAAGTTTGCAGAATCATTTTTCACATTTCGTTACATAAATAATTTCAAAATGAAGCCAAGACAAGAAAACTGTACTTTTTTTTTTAATAAGTTGTTTTTTTCAAACTGTGTCTGTGACAAAGCAGGAAATAAATACGGTAGTTGCTGCAAAAATGTCAATTCCTTGTAAAGACTATGTTACGCTGGAGGACCAATCATACAAGGGAACTAAGGTAAAAATGCCTCCATTTCTATATAGTTCAATACCACATCTATTAGAAACCACCCTAAAATTTGTCATTTATTCATTGACAAAAAAAACAACTATCAAATAATCATTTAATCAAAGCAGTTGTTTTAAAAATATTTTTAAAAAGCCACATTTTCTACTTAAAAAATGTTTTAACATTCCAGAAAAATTCTCAAAAACTGTGCATCGTTTAATTCTTCCTCATATCATGCACTTCTTTGTATTAGCCCAACGCACGTAATCCTAAAACACAATAGAGTTTGTACGTGGGAGATGGAGACATGTGGCTCTGTTGATGATCATTTCATTGACCAAGAACTTGCAAGAAGATAAGAAACAAAATTTTTAAAAAAGGTATTTGGTAAAGAAAAAAGTCAGAACATATGTCCAGAGATGAATGCTGATCAGCAAAGGTTAGTTTCCCCAATGTATGATAACTTGAAAAAAACAAACATCTTTCTTCAATAAATAAATGACGCAATAGGCTTTTTCCGGGGTCTACTTTTAAGGGAAAGCATTTTTGCAGCACTCGGTGTAAGCCAGGGTAGACGTTTGGATGTGCAGTTGGGGACATGGGAAGTGCTTGTACCCTTGTGGAGCGGGGGATGTAGAGACAGAGTGATGGGGGAGGTTGGGTGAGGAGGCTCTGTGGGGCCTGAAAGGACACGGAAAGAGAAGAACAACACACATACAGTGCACGTGACAAAAGGCAACACACAGTACTGAGAAACAGAGATAAGATATTCTGTACTACCTCTGGGCTTTGTCATTTAGAACTCGTTCAAACACTGAATTGATCGTTGTATCGAGACCAAAAAGCCAGATCTGAATTACAACAAGACAGGCATGCACACAAACTGGGCTTGATTAAAATCTCTTATGTAGCAGATCAAAGACAACAGGTAGCAGAGGGTAACAAGGCGAAGGCGTAGAGGTAGGTTATACAGATGGAGATTGTAAGCATAGCAACAAGGCAGTGTGGCTAAAGGTGAAATACAACTGAAAACAAATATTCACATAAAGCTCATGAACACACGTAACCTTATTTTTTCTCAATGTGACATTAAATCAGATTCAAATGTTTCCGGTTCCAGCTCGGCAAGGATTAACAAAATCCTTACAGATTACTTTTTTTGTCTTTCTTCAAAGTCAAGCATTAACATACACTGTCATTACTACACCATTAATCTTTTTGGGGGAAGCTCAAATGATGATTTCATGGCGTTGTAAGCTTCTGAAAGGTCAATATACGAGCTAATTAGAGGCGCAGTAGGTGTGTTGCATTCCCTCCTTGTTAGACATTATGGAGAAATGACAAGAAATCAGCAAAGGTATCAGGAAGAGATTTGCAAACCTCCGTAAGTCTGATTTATCCTAGGGCACGGCTTCCAAATGTCTGAAGGTGCCAAATGCCTCCAAAACATTATTTAGAAATGACCTAAAACAGGAAACTTTTTTGCCTGATTTTAAGTCACATAATGAAAAAAAAAGTTACATGTCAATTTAATTTGGAAATACCTCGGATTAACTCTAAGTGTAATTACAAACTATGACATCCTAGGGTTTGTTTTGGTTTTCTAATGGAAAAAATATCATGCAAACATGTTTGAGGCACACATGTTACCTTTGCCTGGCTCTATAGTGGGCTGAATAAGAGCTTAAAAGAGAAAAGGAAAGACAAAGACAGAGCTGTAAGACATTAAATGGGGGATAAAGAAGAGCCTCCTCATGGGTGTCCGTTTTAAAGGAATCCTTAACCCAACTTTAATTCTAACCCTCAGTAATGTCGCTGATGTAAGGTACTGAATCTATCAGAATTTTGGTGTGAATCACCTCAAGCTAAAAAGCGAAAACACACCGGGCCATACCTGTATCCATGGCTGTGGACGCCTCTTCTGTGATTTCAGGACCAGGCCCTTTTCTTGTCCGAGCCTTCAGGTAAAACTTATAGAGCATGCTTGCGTCCAGGCTGGTCAGTGTGATGGTAGTCACGTTGGCTGGAAAAGTCACTTCCTTGACTGGTCCCAGTTCACTTGTGGTATTAACTGTTGAGGAAGCAGAAAGAGGTCAGTGATGGGAAATGGACAAGTACACATAAGTAGAAGAGAAAACAAGTTATGAGGTGTCTGTTACCCCTACCAGGGTGGTATCTGAGAGTGTATCCTGTAAGGCGTCCATTGTTGCTCAAAGGTGGGCCCCATTTTAGCGTAAGAGTGTCCAAACCGTGGTCCATCACGCTCAGAAAAGAAGGAAGATCTGGGACTGAAATACAAAGTAAAGCCACAGTCAGGATTTATTATGCATTAGAAATCTCTAGAATTGGTATAAAAAAGTGTATATGAAAGCCAACTTTTCAGAGGATAATGTTAAACCTTAAATACACACCTCCTTCTTTGGTTTCAAAGGTCTTTTTGGGGCTAGGAGGTCCCTCTCCTTTGTTATTGAACACCCTGATGAAGAGGTCGTAGACACTGTAAGGCTGAAGTCCCGGCAGCATTCCCTCACTGCGGTTACCACTGAAAGTTAAAATTTGCTCCTGCCCGCCTGCTTCTTCTTCTTGGTCTTGCTGGCCTCGTACCCGACGGTAGTACACCTGGATAAAACACACAAAGACATAAGTGCTATTTTAAAGCCTGGTCACTGAAGTCATATTTCAAAGCACATTGTTCCAAGGAAAACCAAAAACTAACAAGTTTTTGTGAATGAAAAAAGAAAAAGAGTACCCTGTATCCTTGCAGTTCACCTCGGACAGAGGGATTTGATACCGGTTCCCACTGAACTTCTGCCAGCGTGCTGTTAAGAACAGTGACCTGGACACTACCAGGAGCAGACAAAGGCTCTGCCAAGTGGAAATACACCAGTGTTAGTCATCAGCATAGAAAATGACTTCAGATCTGCTACTGTGTCTGAGGTAACTTCACAAAATAAAATAAAAACAAAAGCAGAAGGACATCAAAAAAGTTCAACATTTTAAACTTGCTCAAATCTATCTGGTTGAAAACAAAACTAATGGAATTCATGGAAACATCCACAAAATTCACTCACTGTCTTCTCCCGAGTATCCAATCACAACTGTGGGTTCAGGTGCGTTGCCGTAGTTATTGAAGGCCTGAACTTTAATTTCGTAGGCCACATAGGTTGGTGTTCCAGAAACAACGAGCTGGGAATCGTTGACAACATTCTTCGAGGTCCAGTCGTCTTCCACATCCTTTTGTCTCCACTGCACCTTGTACTGCAGGCCCGGACCGTTTGACTGAAATCCTGTGAGGGGCTGCGCAAGACAAATGTTAAAGAGTTTATTGACTAAAAAGCTGAGGAAAACTGTGTTAAATCTAACTCAACTAAATCAAATCCTTCTTACCTTCCAAGAGATGACCAAGTTGTCAGACTCGGTTCCTGATCCCTCCACATTTGTTGGATTTTCATCCGGAGCTGAGGAAAATCAAATAATAACGCACGGCTCAGTCTGTACATCTGGGAACCTTAAACGTGAACTACTTGATAAGTGATCTATGAAATGTCTTTCCTACCTGAAGGGTTGGTCCTGTACTGTGCCGAGGGGTCACTGGGGTCGCTGTAGCCGACGTCATTCTGAGCCAGCACTCTGAACGTATAGTAGACGTATGGAGAGAGCTGCAGCTGGACCGTGGTGGTGGTACCAGAAACTTCTGTGAGGTTGACCCAAACTCCTGGCTGGTGGAGTAGATCCATGTATTCAATCAAAAAGTCTGGAAAAGAAAAATGCACAATTTTATTAAGACCATATAGATTGGAAAGCAAGGATCTTAATTCTAAAATGCCAATTTGACTAATGACTACTGAGTTTCTGCACTGCAAATTGATGGCATAGGAATAACCATGAATGCATCTCCTTTCTTTGCATTTTATACTGTAACCAATAAGATCATCAGAACCTGGGTTATCATAATATGAGTAAATTTCTTCATGTTTTGACTCATGCAAAAGATATTTGTAGAAGTGGCACCATTTGTGGCAACGCAAGAAACAGAGTGAAGAGAAGTTCTCACAGGGAATTTATGTTTTTTTCTTTTGTTACCAGGTCAAATCTGACACCGAACAATAGTAAAAAAAAAAAATGAATGAATGAATGAATGAGGCGATTAATATTTCATACTCTGTATTGGACTGTTGTTTTCATCTCCAGGGATCCAGGTGAGCTGAACACTTCTCTCCATCTGGTCGGTGAGCTCCAGGTCAGTCGGAGGGTCCGGCTTTTCTGTAAGAACGGTCAGAGATCAATGGTAGAACTCGACATCCTGCTGTCAGACCTTTTATTGTTGCACAGTAATGGGAGCATGTTTGAGTTTATGAAGATATATTTAATGCACCGTTATGATGACAAAAGCAAATTGTTAAAATTCAGCATGGGTCTTTTGGTGGAATGTATGTTTTCTTTGTTTTTTCTACATTCATTTTATGATGACTTGCAAATCACTAATATGTTTCGGTAAGTTTGCCAAGTTTGCCAAGTTTTCGGTGAAATTTTTTTTTGCAGTAATTGCCGATCTCCTACACAGGTTTTTCACTTTCAGCTCATTAGACCTAAATGCTGAACTGAATGAAGGAAAAAAAAAATCAATCAATGATGCTTATACACACACCCACAGTTCTGACAGGAGAGAATGTGAAAGCGGCTGCATCGACAAACTGTGGACATGGAGAAGAGACTAAAGTGCCAAAAATGGAAACATAAATAAAGCAGGAGATGACAAAATGGACCGAATGAAAGCTCTATGTTTACCTAACACAATTGGTGGAGGAGGAGTTGCCTCTGATAGCAAGAAAAATAGAGGAAAGCGAAAGAAGAAGATAAGCTGTTAGTATTAGATAATTTTGAAATGCAAGAAAAGGCAGGAAAAACACGACTGAAGCATTAGATTATCACAGAATCAGCAAAGATAAAAGAAGAGGACAGTCATTTGAATTCATGGAGTTTAAAGATAGACTCTGATGTACAGTAAGCAATTGTTCTTGCTTGAATGCAGTGGTTAGCCCACAACATCACCCTCAAGGCCTTGCTGCCCTAAGTAGTCAGCCATGTTGCGCCTATCACCAACTGTCACTGTCTGCAATGTTTTTTAACTCATACAACATAGCGAATGCGTCAGAGAATAACGCGTTTAAATCAAAAATGTGTCAACCCACCAACAACAGTCAGTGTAGCACTTGCAGAATCCTGATCCAGAATGGTGCTTGTGATGCAGGTGTAAGTGCCGGCGTCATCATCGGTCACGTCTCTGATGATCAGACTGTCATCGCCCACCTCAAACCTGCATGGATTACCAACAAAGATGTGTTAGTATCTTTATCATTGCTCTCGTGTTTTCACCTGAAGGTCTGCTGTACCTCTGATCGTCCGGTAGTTCTCCGTTATCTTTCAGCCAGGTCATGGTGGGCATGAGGGTTTTGTCATGTTTGACTTTACACTCAAACAGAGCACTCATCCCTCTCTGCACCTTTTTGTATGTTGGCTGGGTGAGGATGCGAGTGGGTTCTGGAGCACAGCGGTAATAGTAATTGATATTTACAGATAGAACATGAGCAGAATCATTAAAGCAATTTTTCTACCTCTTACTGACCTTTAACTTCCAGGAAGACATCATTCTCTTTAAATCCTAGGTTATTGGTGGCGGTGCAGGTGTACTTCCCACTGTGTAACGGCTGAGCTACGTTGATTTCCAGCGTGCCGTTCTCATGGATCACATAGGAGTCGCCGTTTTTTATGCTGGTCTGACTGTCCTTAAACCTGTATTGAAAAATTGAAAAGGACACTTTTGTTATTGTGGTTTTGAGAAATACAAGAAACTAGTGGCAGACTTCTGTCAAGTTTGTACATAATCTCTACGGATGGAACCAGAAACAGTCGCTGCAGTTTCACAGAAAGGCTGTCTGACACAAAACAACAAGCCAGGAAACGGCTGTTCAGCTTGCCAACATGTCTCAGCCATGGCTCTCCTTTACATATGAGAAATTGAATCAAAACATGTTGACATTGTGCAACCCTTAGTTTTATCCCTGATCTTGGAAGAAAACAGCAAAAATGGAGCAGTGACCGACTTGGTTTAGGTTCCAACTCCTACCATGCGATGGTTGGTATTGGTGAGCCAAAGGAGGCGCAGTCGAGCAGCGCTGGGTGGTTCATGATGACTCGGTACACTTGGTTTGGCAGAGTAAGAACTCTTGGTGCTTCGGCTGTTGAGCGCAAAGACAAACGTTGCTGGATTTCATTGCTCACATGCACATCAGCGTATTTGAAGTTACACTAACAGCTAGATAACTTTAAAGCTTACCCAGCACATTTACAAATGCATTAGCCATCAAGTAACCAAACTCATTGGATGCATTGCACTGGAAGACGGCACTGCTTCCCGTCTGTACATTGCTGAGAATCACGGTGTCCTCCTCTATCTTTGGGCCATTTTCTTCATAAACATCTAGGACAAATAAAAAAAGGAGACATTTTTATCTTTCTGACACTTCAGTTAAAGGGAATTCAGCATTTGATGGAATTTGCCTGCATCTCAATTTACAGTAGTGAACAAATACTAGTCTGTTTTTTTGTTTGTTTGCTTTTTTTACCCTCTATTGGACGTCCATTGACAAACCAATTAATTTTTGGCTTAGGATTTCCATTAACACGGCATGTTAGGATGCCGGTCTCATTCGGAGCCAGAACCAGGTTTCTGGGAGCACTGATCCAGAAAGGAGCAGCTGGGGAGGGAGAATAAAATGCACAATGAGATTACTGAGAACATGACTCCATTCCTCTAGATATGCTTGTATTTATATATGTTCAGACAATGACGTTAGGAGAAGCTGACAAGCAGAATGCCTTTTTTTTACACTGTACTCCACTGCAATTAAAAGTATGTCGTCAGCAGATTTTGGTGAATTTATTTGGATTGTACATTTTACTTAAATCAAGCATAGCAGAAAATCAAATAATACTCAAAAAATCTTAAAATGTTGCAAATAACTAAACAAACCTAACAAGAGTAAATACAACAAGATTTTCTATTCACTCCTGCCTAGGAAGGTTTGGGTAATTTTCTCTCCAAATAAAATAAGTATTATTAAGTATTTCAAAACTGATGAAGACACAACAGGAAGTAAAAATCTTTGCCGCTCTTCAGACCTTTAACGGTGACTTTAATGAGGTGATGTGCAGAGCCCAGCTTGTTAGTCGCTGTGCAGCGGTATTCGCCAGCATCGTCTTCATTCACGTCAGAAATCTTCAGTGTTTTGTTGAAGTTGGAAAAGAATGCCCTGCCACTGGGCAGCTTCCGTGCATCCTTCTGCCATGAAATGTCAGGAGTGGGTCTGTCACAGGAAACATAAAGATCAACGTCATGAGATCGTTTTTTTTTTGTTTTGTTTTGCAATTTGTGTTATATGCACCACTTTATGTTGGTTCATCACATAAAATCCCAACAAAACATGCTGAATTTGGTGGTTTTAATGAGACAAAATGTTCAAAGAAGTTCAAATAAGCCACTTACAATCCCTCAGCGATGCATTCCAGCTCCAGAGTCTCTCCTCTCAGAACAGTCTTGTTGCTCGTACTGCCGCTCGGCAACTTGAAACCGGGACGACGCTCCCCCTCTGGGTTGCCTGATCACAAGAGGAAACAAGTGGGAATCTGAGTCAAGCCGAAGCAGCAGCCAGGTTAGATGTTGCTCTCACAACGTTTACAAGAGGAGCTTAGTATGTGGAGATGTGAAGTCAGGAAGGGATATTTACAACAATTAGTTAGAGGCACTACCAAGTCAAACTGTTTTCTAAATGTGATAAGATGGGACAGAATTTTTTTTAATAATATTTAATTTTATACATCTTTATTTATTCTTTAATATAGTCTTCAATTTGAGAAACAGGAGAAAATTGTGTCAAGCGTTAATGTCACCACATAGGGAGTGTATTGAGGCCAAGATAAAAGGAGCATGTTTATAGGTAAACACTGGGCAGGAGTCACTCTGGGAATACAACAACAGCACTCACCACTATAGAAATCGGTCATATTATAAGCAGCCAAAGTCTCATTTATTGTTTCCACTGGAATATGACAAAAGAAACATGATAACTACGCAATACCAGGAGGTATAAAGTTGATGTTTACTTTCCCTTCAATAACATTTTTGATAACACTTTATTTGAAGCTAAAGCTTAATCAGTAATACTTTCATCACAAATGTATGTCAGATCATGATTTCCTGGCTAATGTCAAGTTGTCATAACGGAGACATTTTTGTCTCGGTTAATGACAAGTTCAAGCTGTATAAATGCTTGTTGCAAAGGCGCTGTATTAAACAGAAACAATGGCAGCCACATTTCGACTGACACAGACAAAACAAACTTTCACTTCCAGGACTTACTGTTTTGCACCACGACAGAGATGGGCTGTTTCTGCTGGATGGTCTGCGTGTGTGGAAAACGAGCGTAGCAGATGTAATCGCTCCGGGTGTCTTCTGGGAGAACGTTGGAAAAGTATAGGTCTCCGTTCAAGGCCTGGGACACACGCTTATTCAGCGGCAGCTTCTGGAAGTCTGGGGAAGGAAACAGCATGTCAGGAGTGATTAATGTGTCGGTTTTCTTTTACAGGAACGCAGCAAAGTTTACCACTTCAAACCACTCACTGTTATCCATCCAAAAAATGACAGGAGGAGGCAGGCCTGCCGGGGGTCGACATGGAAGCACGAGAGAAACCCCCTTTTGCACCATAATTGCCTCATTTTTCTCCTTTGACCACAAGGGGGACCCTGCGAGTCACAATAACCAAACGAGGGTGTTTTAAAAACACAGGCATTTAGGAATATGTGAATATTATTTGTTGAGGTGTCTTACTGGACTGCCTGATCATAATGGTGTTGGACAGAGCTTTGCCATGCTCATTGCTAGCTGTACACTGGTATGTTCCCTCGTAGGCATCAGCCTTTTCTCCACTGATGTCAATGACCAGCGTTCCTGAACCGGGCTTCATCAGGACTTTGGAGTCCGTCTCCACATCAAAGTTGGTGCCGTTCCTTGTCCATGAAAAGCTACAGATAACAAGAGTAAATCATGTCGCTTAGCCGGGACAGAGTAAAATAAAATTAAAAAACAAACAAAAAAAACAGTCACACAAAAGTGTTTCAGTGTAAAAATGGTTTGTGGTGTGTTTTGTTGCAACCTGAAGTGTGAAATAAACTTTGGTAGAATTTGAAAACAAAATATGTGTATCGGTTTATGTCTGGTTGAACAATGTGTGTGCCCAGCTATTTTTTTCTTTTTGGGGGGGATTTTATTGTAATCCATAAGGGGGGGGGCAGAAAATCTTTAGGAACCACTGGGTGAGCTGCATGTTAAATAAACGTTCTGTCAACAAATACTCCCACATAAGCTGTGGATGTCTGCTTCTAATTTATGCTCTTCTTGCCCAATCGGTCAAGTTTAGGTGGACAGCCTTGCATTGGTAAATTAATAAAATGTTGATGGGATTTGCCATGTTTCCAATTCAGTAACGTCTTTGATTCAATTTGCCTGATTCTAACATGTTTGAGCCAATGACTGGTGGCAAATCAGAGCAGCAGCTAATCCATCCTTCCGGGTGTGTTTCTTAGCCGCCTGATCTCCAAGACGACAGTTGCTATGGCAATTCATCTTCTCCATTTGCCTCCAGGTTAAGTTGCCCTCAGAAGGCAGCGGCATTAAATCATTCAATAAGTGTTTTGGAGTTACCGTCTCACCTGGGATGAGGCTTTCCTTTGGCCTCGCAGTGAATGACGATGTTCTCCCGTGGATCAAAGATATAATCCTTGGGGGATTGCAGAGTTATGGTGGGGGGTTGAGGTACTGGGGAGACATTCGTAGAAGAATATTTCATACACACATCAGCACTGAATTCATTGCAGAGACACTTTGTATAAATGAGGATATGAACTATTCGAGCAACAAGCATGCTTAGCCAAACTTGTCAGACAGGATTTGTGGAGCAAACAAAGACATGAGCAGCAATCTCTCTCCTGAGTAGATGACTTACCATTGTTTGACTTCAAAATTACACTTCAAGCAACACTCCAAAGCCAAGCAAGGTGCTCAGTAGAGTTGTGGCGTTGGGCAAAAAGGCAAACAAACAAGCAAACCAAAAAAAACTCCATGCACATTGTTACCCAAACCACACAAAGAGGAAATCAATACATTCAAAAGGCAAAAACTGCACACAACAAGCCAAGGCTATGTTTTAGGCAACTTACATCCTTCCAGTACTTTAGCTTTTTGTCCCCCATGACATGCCATACAACAGTAACAGAATATTGAGGAGAAGTGTTAGAGTTTCTTCAGATGTCTTGCAAGGAACAAGCAGCAGATTAAGTTGAAAGACAATTTTTTTATATATAGTTTGATAGAGCCAGCGTGATCGGCTTTCCCACGTGTAGCTTGCATTGTTTGTGGAAGAAGGTGGAATAAATGCAAGAAGAGGCTTTTCACAAACACTGAAGTCACAAGTATCAGTTTACAGAAGAGAAACACCACGCAGCATCGGTTGCAAATCATATATTTTTGAGTGACACTTACGATCAAGAGGCACTTCAAGCCCTGCAGTCATGTGACTCAGCAGTATCAATAATACAGCTTCAACACCTGGAGACCATTTTTGTTTCTTGTCCATGTTTGTGTAAGTCAGATCCTGAATGATGATCTTCCCTCCAGGGTTAACAGCAGCAGAAGAGTGACCAGCTGAAGAAGAATCGACTCTACAAAGATATAAAAACATAAATTAGTAAAAATGAACTTTGACATATATTTTTTCTGTTTCATTTTATGTAGTAAAGAAATTGTAATATCAATCCACGGCCTGACGTTTAAATTAACATCTTGATGCAGCTGTCACATTTTTTGGAGCATAATTGTCATTTCCATCATCACAAGTATAGCCAGTATAAAAATAAAAAATACTTCACTATACAGTAAATAGAGAGATGATCCAACATCAATATCAAGATCCGTATTGAACACCATCAATCTGCAACCCCTACAGCGAGTTCAGTGCACCTTGCTTCTAGTTCATTAAATTATATTATTAGAAGTGATTTAATGTTTTTTTCAATTCATTAAGAAAAAAAAAGCAAAGTTTGTAGCTTGAACAGTTTGAATTTATCCTTTCTACAGCTGAAAAGAATGCAAATTAAGACACTAAAATGATCATTCTAATATTTATGATGTAATTATGAATCTTATGAATAGACATACAACTGACCAGATGGGCAAAAGTTACAGCAGCATAGCCAACAGTGCCTTTGTGGTTTACACATTTAATACATTTAATATAAAAGGACTCCTTGGTAGAGTCTAGATCAAAAGTTTTTGTTGGAAATAAACAGTGCTTCTATGAACACAGACTGATCTTGCAACATCTATAAACATTTACTCTCTCATAGTAATACAATTGTAATACAATTCCAACTTGACACGCCATAAGACAAGCACTTTCGACTGGCTGGTCTTTTGGTTATCCAATAATTCTGCCAGTGTAGAGACTCTGGCAGAAGGAGTCGTCAAAACAAACTCGATTCAGGATTCGCTTTCCTAAACAACCCTGTCCATGGGTCTGTCCTCAATTTGTTATCCAACCAATTGAGAAACACTCACTTGAGGGTTTTTTTTTTTTTTTTTACCATCCAGGTTGATGAGTTTTCTCAAACTTCTGCCAGTTAATTGAGCATTAGCCTCCAAACAGACAACCACTCATCCATACAATGTGAGACGCCCCTGGCACCACATGCTTAGTCAAGACGTACGAACATTTAGCTGGGGGGAAAAAAAACAAGAGCAAGCAATGCTGCTCCAGATACAGTTGCATACATACTGGCACATGTATGCACAAAAAAAAAAACTCCACATTACCAGAACCATCATGGCAGGCATGTCAGACTCTTGGAATTACACATGAGCTCTTGTTTCTACTGGGTTGAGGATCACGAACCGATATGAGCCGATGCATCACAAACATGGCATAATCATGCTAGCATTAATGTTATCTGGTAAACTGAACCACAGGGAAAATATTTCATGCAATTTGCTTCAACTTTATTCACCATTGTTTGCGGTTCACAAACTATCTTTTAGTAGACCTTAATTTATGAGCAGACTTAACGGTGGCTGACACATATACATGCCTCCTACGCAAAATTACTGCAGGCATGTTAAAATGTCCGATCAATATTTACTATCAGACAGGCTATTTAATTTATTGATTGAGAATCAAATAATAAAACGTAAAAATTTATAATTCCCATGTTCCTCTTCTATTTCTACTTCCTGTTCCCTTCCAATGTGAACTGCTCTCTTGCAACCTGGGCAAAACACAATCAAACTGAGACAGACCTCTTTTACTCTTTCTGTAACACAAATATTTTTCTCACTAGCTAAAAAAAAATAAAAAATTCAAGAAGCCAGAACATTTAACTCATTAGGGAGCATTGAAAGGCATCAGTCATGTGGATGCCTGCAGACCGTTGGTCTATGTACTGCAATTGCCTGGCATGTGGGTTGTAAGAACGTCACAGCGGCCCAACGATGGAACAAATGGGTACATCAGAGAGTTTCTGTTGTAAAGCATCCAGGTTGCCAAACGCAGACCAGGACGGCCAGCAAGTTTCACATACTTGAGAGTTCAGCGCCTACCATCTGGACAAGAGTAATGGACTCTTTACAATACTAAGTATCATCCTGCACCCTGTCTCAAAGACCGCCATTAATCACACTAACAGTTAACTGCCCCATGCGTGGCCTGCCATAAACACCAGAGCAGATGGTTTCATTTAGAGTGCAGATGTAGTCATAAGGTGTAAACTGATGACAAAAGGCAATATCATTTTTTTTAGAGAGGATTTTGTTCATCATTAGTCCCTTACTAGAAGTTTTTTGCATGCATATTGGCACCACGGGGAGAGGTCCAGAACTGTGAATGTTGCAGAGGTCTTGCTGTTTTCTCTGATAAACAAGTGACTCTCTAAATGAACCTTAAAAAGCACAAAATAAAAAAAATTATTGCATCGGTAATAAAATGGATGAGATTATGTGAGTGTGAAGGCAGTGTTAGAGTAATATAGTAGACAAACTGAGGAAGGCAAGTCATTCATGCAATCAGAATATGATAGGGGCTTAGGATACTGAAGCCTTCAAAGGCATCTGGAGGTGAAATGATCATCACACGATTAAGCCCAGGTCAGTTACTGCTCTGAAAGGCAGAGGCACTGAGAGAGAGAGAGTGAGGTTATGAATGCACACAGAGGTTTTATCCTACTGAAGCTAGGCAGTGAGCGCAAGCTAACACAACCCCCAAGACACAGCTAATTACGCTGACATGTCCTGTTGAGTATTACTCTCACCAGGGGGATGAAAAGCAGGCATAAAGAGGGTAACATCACTGAATACATTACAGACAGTTCATGGATGCTAAAGCTCTTAATCTCTTTGTAAAAAAAAAAAGAACAACAACATTGAAATATGATTACATAAACGTAGCATCTTATGTTCAGATTAATTACAGTAACGCCTCATGCAGCTGCAGCAGACACAGTCCTGCAACATCAGCAGCAGTTACACTGAGCTCTGCTGAGCTTTGCAACAAAAACAAGAGTAGAAGAAATGTTTTTTTTTTGTTTGTTTTGTTTTTAAATAATCCCTCCCAAATATAAAATGAATTCCAAATTTGGCTGTTTCAAAAGACAAAATGTGTAAATCATCCAATTGCATTCATTCTCAATAGGACATAGCTCTGACCTTTGATTGGAGGATTCTACCAATCAAAGCAAATGACACACCATTTGCTTTGATTGGGTTTTGTAGCTCTGAATGTGTGGGATTATTTTGTCTTTGGAAGCTGAGCCTCCACACCAATCTCAAGTTGCTTGTGCATTTTTTTGTCCATGTTTTTAGAGCTATATTTAGGTAAATTCATCTCGACATAAGAACTGAAGAAAAAACAAGCCCACAGCATTGTGCCACCAAAAAATACAATAAAATACGTAAAAATGTGTCGGTGTAACCTCACGGAATGTAAAACAGTTCGAGATGTTGTATAATTTTGCAAAGCAATGTTCATCTGCGGTACGTTTAGATGCATAAATATAGCAAACATGAACTTTTCACCATCTTACAAAACAAACACTCCTTCACTTGTTTTGTTTTTCACTCTCAGCAGAATTGACAACATTAATGTGTTTGTATTGCCTGCTGAGTGAACTTTTCAGAGTTAAAGGGTAGAACCATGAAGGCTGTACTGCGTAGTGTGGTGGAGGACATTATTTACAGAACGGCACAATTACACAAACGTGCACAGCATTCATCCTAATGGTAAGAGGAGCAAATTCATTCCTGGATGAACATTTTCTTAGATGCTGCCAGGGGAAAGCAACTATGATAATAACAGCTGACTCAGTGAGTCAGTGGGATGACCTTGGCGAGGGGGAAGGTCATCGCTCATCATCCTTTATCCTTTCACCAACTCTGAGGTCAGAAAACCATGAAGCTCTCCCTTCAATTGATTTACTTCACTGGATGCTTTGTCTTGACTTTTTTGGTCTCCTTTCCAAAGACTAAATGCTAATCCATTAGCATGACAGTTTACTGTCACAATAACAATGGCTACGTTCTTTCGAGTTTAAACTTGCACAATGGCTGCTATTGGTCCTAAAAACTTATATAGAGGCATATTTATCATCTCTCCAGCCAAAAGAAGAGAACAAAAAAAAAAAAAACTGCAGAAAGTGGGTACATCCAGCTTACATGAAGCTCAAATATTTCAAACTGGTGTCTAAAACATAATAAGGTGAATGTTGATTAAATGTTTTGTCTGTTTTCGAGAAACTGCAAAGCCCTGTGTGACGTAATTTCTGTCATTTGTACCTGCCTTGTGAAGGAGAGGTCTCTGCAGATATTCATACACCGCCCAGATTTTTGTGCAAACACTGGCTGTATAAAGACCATAATACTCCTATACAGACAGTTGTGCCAAACACACAGCAGGTTGAAAAAATAAGTAGAGCTTATTTCAAAGTAATACAGAGAGTTTAGAGTTGTGGACACAACTGGACATGTTATCTCTTAGGACAAGCCTTTAAAAACTGCATGGACATAAATCACGTTATTCCTTCTTTTCTTCAGCTCCTTATTTGAGCAGAAGAAACCATTATTGCCCCCTAAGAGATTGTAGTAAAATATGTATATCTCTAACTGGAGTGAAGCTGCTTAGCAGAGCTAAAAATAGTACGAAGAGAGGCTCGTTCTCGTTCACAAGGTTCTTCTGGCTTGTTTACACTGATATGTTCTTTAAGTGGTGGCGTCAGGCAAACCTGCAGATCTCAACTAAAATTCTTTAAAGAGCCGTAGTTTGTTCGTTCTTGCCAAAATGTTCAAGATCAAAACAAGCAACATCTCTCAAAGCTGTCAAATGTACGGCCGTGAACTGCCATGCCCCTCAGTTTGTGAAGCCTAAAGCAAGCTACTTTGTTGGTCACTCCTCAGCCCTCAGTCACTGAAAGATCACAGCCTGATATGACAGACGAGGGAGGAGAAAAAGGGAGGCAGGAAGAGGATTGCAGGGAGGGATGGAAAAAAATTATTTGCAGTCACGTTAAATCACAGTGACACAGATGTTTATGTGACAATGTACTGACTCAGACTCTGTTCAGCGGGATTGGACCAGAAGCTCAGAACATGCTTAGCTATCCATTTGCAATGGAGCTGAGCT